CCGGGGCTGCAGGAATGGGCTGCGGCTGAATTTGGGGGCGCAGGTGTAGGGCCAAGGCTGGGGGGCACGGTTGGGCAGGGATCTGGAGTGGGGCTGGCACAGGGCTGCGGAGAGGGCTGGGGCTGAGCTTTTGGGGTGCTGCAGGCTGGTTTGGGGGTGCCGTGCAGGGGGGTCAGGACTTGCTCGCCCCAGGTGTAGAGTGGGGATGGGCTGCAGCTCCCCGAGCTTGCAGGGGACCAGGAGGACCCTGGGATGCCCCAATGTTCTCCTGGTGTCACTGTCTCACAGGCAGGTGCTGGGGTTGATGCCTCCATATCCCCCAACCTCCTGCTGCTGCTGCTCCTTCAATTTGCCTTAAACCCCACATTTTTATCAAAAAGCCCATTCTTGCTAATTTGGGATACGACAGGGAGGTCTGAACCCCAGCATCGCTGCACCCCAACTTCATCCTGGGTTTCATCCCATTGATGGGTCTTCTCGAGATCCCAATTTAGGGACCAAAGCAGCATCACAAGCATTTTTTGGGACAGCAAAAATTCTGGAAAAGAGAAAATTGTAGTTTAGTGGACTTTAGAGGTTCTTTTCAAGAGAGGAGACTTTGAGGTCTTGCTGCCCCTCTTGAACCAGCTCAGTACATGCTGATACATTATCAAGGTGCATCCAGACACCAACGCACTGGTTTTTTGGAGAAAGACTTTTTGCTTCTCCAAATGATCATTTAGTTGTGCAATGGTGCTTGTCACCACTGCCTGAGATTTGCTGTTATCACCCCACTGCTTGTGCAAGACTGGTCTTGCTTTCTGCTTCGTGACTTCTCCTTTTTCACAGATTTCCAGAACTATCCCAGGTTCCCGTAATGCTCAAGCAGGGCAGGATGAGCCATAAAATCCCCAGCCAAAACCGCAGCTTTTTTGTGCAACCTGCTGAGTTTGTTAAGTTTAGTGAGCATCACTGGGCTTAGTGACACGGGATTGTTTTGAGTGGATGGCTTTTAGCAGCCTCCTCCAAAAATCTGTCCTTCTGTCTAACATAAACCTGATTTTTTACTGGGACGGTGCATATGGTGCTGTTAATTTAGGTGGGGTATGTAGGTGATACCTCCAGCTTCAGCCACAGCACAGAACACGTCACCAAATCAATGTTAAAGCCCTTTTCCTTTGTGTCTCCCTGTTCAGACTGAAGGATCTGGAAGTGCCCAAGCTGGGGGACTGCGATGTCAGTGTCAAGATGTTGGCAGCCCCCATCAACCCCGCTGACATCAACATGATCCAGGGTAAGGTGTTAAATTAATGCTTTGCACATTATTTCTTGCAGGATGCTCCGAGTTGGAAGGGACCCACGAGGATCATCAAAGCCAGCTGCTGTCTCAGAGGGTTCAGAGACGGCTCCTGGTGCAGGGGTGTTGGGTATGAAGGGCTCTCTGGCTCACCTCCAGCTTCCCTGCAGGGACCTATCCCCTCCTGTCGTCGCTGCCGGCCGTGGGAGGGAATGAAGGTGTCGGGGAGGTGCTGGAGGTCGGGCGCTGTGTGACAGCTCTGAAACCCGGGGACTGGGTCATCCCTGCCGACACCGGACTCGGTGAGCTCGTCTTTGGCACACCCCACACCTGCAAAGCATCTTCCCAGGGGATTTTTGGGGTGCTGGAGCCCCTGGGGGGTGCCCAGGCTTGCCCAGAGAGCAGTTCCATGGTTGTGCTCCTGTGTGAGCTGCTGTGGGGATTTTGGGGGTTGGAGAGCAAAAGCATAGCTCTCCAGAGCACCATCTTTGCAGGGTGTGGGTAGAGCCATGGGCCCCTCCACTTACAGCAATTACAGATGATGGGATGGGTCCCAAAATGGGGAACAAATTGGGAAAAAAGCTCCATTAGGGAATGTTGGGTAAGGGAAGCAGGAGTTGGAACCCATTTAGTGCCATGTGAGACCAATCACAATGAGACAGTTGGGATAATTAGTGGAGTTATTTCTTAGCTGTTTATGTCTTGGTTTATTTTCACCACCTGTTTTTATTTTTCATCAATTTAATTTTTTTTAAAGAAAACTCAGTTCCTACTCCCCAGCCCCAGCAAGTGAAGCTGCTCATCCACAGACACAAGAAGGCTCTCAGGAGGATGGGGGTCCCCAGGGAAGGGGCTCCTGTGCACAGGACTTACCACACACCCTAAAACACCTGGAACAGGAGCAGTGGCAACACCATTGCTCGTGCCAAACTTAAATTTAGCAATGATCTTCTTTCCTGGAGCATAGACCCTTTAAGGGATGTCTGTGCCACTATAAAGCATTGCAGAAATCTGTGTTTCTCTGGAAACAGCTGTGTTTTGTGCCATCAGCTTAGAGCTTCCCTAAAGACCTGGGATAAAACATTTCACACGAGCAAGGTCGTGGTGGCCTCTCACTGTAGTTTTCTCTTTAATAATGGTCTGCTGGGAAAGTGTGGGAATTTATTTCCCAACAAATGTCTCCCATGCTCCTCCAAAATGCCAGTGGCCTGGTATTTGCTGGTTGTGGTTTTGTGTCACAGTTTGTTCTTTGCCTATTTCTTCTTAAAAGGCTTTTTGCTAAATGAGAGAAGGAAAATGATGGAGTTAAGAGCCAAATGGGGTATTTTTAAGCATAAAAATGCTGTAAATAGATGATAGAGGTTTAAATTGGATATGAGCGTAGAGGGAGTAAAGCTGAGTAAATTGGCTTGGAATATATGGGCTCATCCATAGGATGGAGAGTATTTCCATTATCTCTGCACACATTCCCAGAGAGCCCCAGCCCCGTTATCCCTCTGGGAAATGATCAGGCTTTGCTGCTGGGTGATAAATCTTGGCAGGCAGTGAGGAATCCATTCCTTGCCTCTTGGAGCATTTTGGCTGTACCCAGATGGGAACCCAATCCGTCATTCCCTCTCGGGGCTGTAGCTGGTTCCTGGCGTGTGAAGCTCCTGGTGCCATGGCTGCAGTGGGAGCTGATGGCTTTCCTTTGCTTTCCCCCCGTGCTGTGGCTGTTCCTGTGGCGCTGCCGTGCCCAGGGACGTGGAGGACACGGGGGGTGTTCCCTGAGGAGATGCTGCTGAAGGTGCCCAGTGACATCCCGGTGCTCTGTGCTGCCACTCTGAGCGTCAACCCCTGCACGGCGTTCCGTCTGCTGGCCGACTTCGAGAGCCTGGCGCCCGGTATGGCCCTGCCATGAGGAGCAGTTCCACAGGGATTTCCTGGCTGTCTCTGAGTGGGAATCTGCGTTTATTCACCTCCAGGTGACTCCATCATCCAGAACGCCGCCAACAGCGGCGTGGGCCAGGCCGTCATCCAGATCGCCAGGGCCTCCGGCATCAAGACCGTCAACGTGGTGAGGGACAGGTGGGTGCCCTGGGGAGAGGAAAGTTTGGGAGCTGGATCGGCTCATCCTGCCCATCCAGCCCAGGATGTTCTCCTGTTTGCTCCTCCAGGTTGTCCTCCAGCCTCTTCCTCGTTGTCCCCACACAGTGCCAGAGCAGAAAGAAGAAGATGGAACTCTGCTTCCTGGCTCATCTAGTCCTCTTTTTTTATCTCCTTTTTCCCTCCCCAGACCTGATCTCCCAAAGCTGGTGGAGAGGCTGATGGCCCTGGGCGCTGATCACATCATCACAGAGGAGATGCTGAGAAAGCCAGAGATGAAAGATATATTTAAGGTATATATTTAAGATATATTTCCCTCAACGCTGATCCCACTGGAGAGTCCAGGGCTGTCACTGCTGCTCAGCACTGGGGAGAAATGCAGGGATGGTGGGAAGGATAAATTTCTCTCTAGATCAGAATTTAACCCCAGGAGTGGAGGGATTTTGCTGCTGACACAGATTTCGGTTGCAATCAGATTGGGCTTGAAGCAGCCTGGTCTAGCTGAAGGTGTCTTCCTGCATATGGCAGGGGGTCGGAATGAGTCCCTTCCAACCCCAGTTATTCCTTGATTCTGATGGATTTTAGCTCTGCTGCTTTCAGCAGCCCTCAGGTAAATGTTGAGGTTAATGCAGATGCTTTGTCAAGAACCACAGTCCCATCCCCTAAAGGAGCCATAAAATTTGGGAACCTTTGCCATAAACCCTTGCAGAGCATCCCGAGGCCCCGGCTCGCCCTGAACTGCGTCGGAGGCAAAAGCACCACGGAGATGCTGCGGCACCTGCAGTGAGTTTGGTTGGGTGGTGGCTTGGGCACAAACCTGGGGACAGAAACTGGCAATAGAGGGTCCTGCTCTGGAGTCTGTTGAACTTTGGAGAGGGAATGGAAAATGGTTTGGATAACAACAGTAATTTAAAGTCTCACACTGCTGGTGGCTGGGGGCAGCTGGGGTCGAGTTGTGAAGGTCCCCCAGGTCCTGGCCAGATGTAACTGGTGTGCTGAGCTGCAAATTCAGCTAATGGTGCACAGAAGCAGGAGAGTTTGGAAAGTGGGATCTGAAGGGTAACTGGGGAGCCCTGAGTGCAAAGACAGCCCCGGGGGGGGTCGGGGATGGCAGAGGAGGAGGTGGCAAACCAGAGCTGCGCTTTTGGGGCCACCTAACCAAATACCCCTTCCCTACTGCAGGCCCAAGGGGACCATGGTCACCTATGGGGGGATGGCAAAGCAGCCTGTGATGGTCCCTGTGGTGAGTACTTGGGATGCCTCTCCTTAGTCCCCTGTGTCCCCAGTGCATGTCCCCATCCCCTCGGTGCTGTGGGCACCTGGCTCTCCCCCTCTGCAGATTGAGACCCTCCAGCTGTTTTTATTTGCCTGATGGGGTCTGTCACAGGACAAGCTGCATCCCACTGCTGGGCTCTTGCCTTTTTTATGGAGGGTTTGGGTTGCCAAAAAATTCCAGTGGGGAAATGACCCTGCTGAGCATCAAACCTGCCCTGACTCCACACCTTGGAGTCGCCTCTCCGCATCCCTGGCTCACAAAAGGGAGCTCCAACAAGGGGCCACCATTGTCACACTGGGAGGGGACACGTGTGTTACCACGTGTGTGAGGGGACAGGGGAGTCACTGCATGTGCAAGGGGACACAGGAGTGTCCCTGGGTGCCAGGAGGACACACTGGTGTCACACATTCCACAGAGCGCCTTCATCTTCCGGGACGTGCGGCTCCGCGGGTTCTGGATGACACAGTGGAGGAAGGACCACGCACAGGGTGAGCCAGGGGGGCTGGGGGAGCTGAGCTGGCAGGGCTGAGGGTCTGTCCCTGTGCCCTGTCCTGAGTGGGAGCAGGGCCAAACCCCACCCAGCCACATCCTCACTCCCACAGCCATCTCTGCTTGTCCCAGGGTGCTGAGACACTGGTGCTGGGCTCAGGCAGGGACCGTGCCGGGGGCTCTTCCCTCATCCCACGTACCTGAGCTGGGGGCACATCACACCCAGGGACCCCGTGTGGCCTCGGGCAGTGTCCCAGGGGTGGTGGGTGGCCCTGCAGGGCACAGTGAGGGCTCCCTCCTGCCTTTGCAGACCAGGAGAGCGTGGCTGCGATGATGGACGCCCTGTACCAGCTCATCCGCAGGGGCCAGCTCACAGCGCCGGCCTGCACCGAGGTCCCGCTTCAGGACTACAGGGCAGCGCTGGAGGCCTCCATGAAGCCCTTTGTGTCCTCCAAGCAGATCCTCCTCCTCTGACCTGCAGCTCCTGGAGCCCTGTCCTGTTCCACATGCTTGTCCACAGACTTGAGGGGGAAAAAGACCCTCGAGATGGAATTGAATTTATTTTTTCCTTTGTTTTTCACATTTTGGGTGCTCACTGAAAGATTTAAAAGCCTCTGCTGCTTTGTGTGGAAGTGCTGCAGGAGGGAGGCTGCATCTCATAGTGGCTGGGGGAAGTTTGGGAGCCCAAATGATGGCTTGCTTAGCTCAGGATGTGGAAAGAGCAGCAGTTCCCCCTCACGTGTGCTTTTGGGCTGGGCAGGGCTGTCGTTACCCCAGCTAGAATGTGGGATGGGCAGGGAAGCCCAAGTCATCTCCCTGCAGCCCCACTGCCTCCACACCTGCTCCAAGTAGGAGGAGGGGGCACAAATGCCCCAAATGGTGAGGGGTGCTATGACTGGAGTGGCCCTAGGTGCTGCTGCAGGTCCTGGAGGAGCCCTGGGTCACCCCAGCTGGGTTTTGCCAAGGGCACTTCAAGGGCCGGAGCCTTTGGCCATCCAGGGCTGGAGCCGGACCCTCAGTGTCCCTGAGGCCCTCCTGCCCAGGTGTGGGACAGTGGCTGTGACACTGCAGAGCAATGTGAAAAGATTTATTGAGAACAACCAACAACGTGTTCTTGCTTCCTGCTGTGCTGCTCTTGTACCTCTGTGACCCCACAAGCTCCCTGCGGTCCCTGCTCTCCCCAGTGCAGCTGTGGCCGAGGCCTGGCAGTGCTGGCTGTGCAGGTGGGGCAGTGGTCCCTGCTCCTGGGTGATGCTCTTGGATACCAGCAGGCTCTCCATGCTGCTCCATAGGATGAACTACAGGGGAAATGTCCCCCAAACACATCTTGCAGTGGAAATAACCTCCCTTGGGTTCTTTGAACTTTCTTTGCCTCAGAACCTTTGGAACCCAACCCAGGGACCTCACTGGGTTCTCCCACCTTGTGCCCAACATGATCCAAGTGGGAGGACCATGGCTGTGGAGTTTTGTGTGGACAGAGGAATTGTGAGGGACTGGTTGTGTCAGCTGAAAGCTCTTCTGGGATTCATCCTGGAGTCCTGGATGAGTTGGTGGGGCTATGGCAGAGCCCCTCTGGATCTACCAAAGGCCAGGGAAGGCTGCTCCTCACCGGGAGCTGCCAGTGTCATCCCCGTGCACAGGGAGTGCACGGATGTGGGGCACAGCCCAGGAAGGTGTACCTGCATCTGGGGGTTTTCTGGGTCCTGTGGGATGAGGAGAAGAGCAGGGCAGGGCAGGAATGTCGCTCAGGGATGGAGGGAGCATTGTACAACTGCATATGCGCTTGGAAGAGCAAAACTGTGAAATTAAACTCCACTGCCATGCTGGGAACTAAATGTCATTTCATCCCCCCTAAAACCCCTCACACTGAGACCTCCCTCAGCAGAGAGCAGGTGTACCCCAGGATAGACTGCACCAGCATCTCCCTTCTGCTCCTCCATCCCTAATAAATCCCCCAATATTTTGTATTTTCCTTCCCCCTGTCAGCATTGGAGGCAGATCCCCATCCTGTGCCTCAGTGCTTCCTGATCGATGGATAAAGTGGGAAAGAAAAGCAAAAAAAGAACTTGGAGATCATTACAAGCACTATTAAGTATGACATAAACCAGAAAAATTAATGCAAAGCTTTTATCCCCCCCATGGGTTATTTGGCTCAGCAATAAAACCCAACATGCTTTAGAGAACTCTTTCACAAAATGTTCCAACCTCTCACTCCTACACCAGGGTACAAAGGAATAAATAAATAAATGTAATTCTCTTTGTCAAATGAGCAGGATCAGGGATGGAAATCCAGCTGCTGCTGTTGCACCTACACAATTGTAATCATTTTGGAGGTGATTGTGGGGTATATTTTGGGGGGGTGGCTGCTAATGCTGGAATATTCCAATCCTCTGCTGGGATCTGGTGTGATTTAGGCAACTGACATCTCAACCAAAAGGATAAAAATAATTCCCCAGAACTGATGTTTAGAGTTCAGCAAGAGGGATGTTCTTGCTCACCAGGGGAATGAGAACAGCTGAGTCTGGCCACGGCTGGGAAACGCCATGGGGAGACTTCGAGGGTGGGGATGGGGGACCCCCATCCCTGCCTGCCTTTGGGGTCCCATCAGCATCCAGCGTTTTCAGAATGGGGCTCTCCACAGGCCCCTGCCAAAGAGAGGAGCCCACGAGCACCTCGGCACCCTCCCAAGTGCCCTGCACATGGGATATCCATCCATGCTCTCCTTGGGGAACGGGACCCCAGGGATGGCAGAGCCCCAAACACCCGCAGGATGGGGACAGGGGACCCCACCAGCCCCAGAGCCATGGGAAACGGGATCCCACACTGCCCTGAGCCATGGGAACAGGGATGCTACCAGCCCCTGGAGCCATGGGAACAGGGATCCCACAGTGCCCTCAGCCATGGGAACAGGGATCCCACAGTGCCCTGAGCCATGGGAACAGGGATCCCACAGTGCCCTGAGCCTTGGGAACAGGGATGCTACCAGCCCCTGGAGCCATGGGAACAGGGATCCCACAGTGCCCTGAGCCATGGGAACAGGGATGCTACCAGCCCCTGGAGCCATGGGAACAGGGATCCCACAGTGCCCTGAGCCATGGGAACAGGGATCCCACACTGCCCCCTCAGCCATGGGAACAGGGATCCCACAGTGCCCCCTCAGCCATGGGAACAGGGATCCCACAGTGCCCCCTCAGCCAT